ATTGTTGTTTGGCGGGTCCGGGCTGGGGATTCGAACCCGCCACCTTAGGTGTACGTGGCTGGCGCCTTAGCCGGTTGAGCTATAGGCGCTGAGCCGACATTTAAAATTTCTTAAGCCAACCGTAGATGCTTGGAAATATGCCATCCCAAATTCCTATGTAAATTTTTTAGCAACTTCTGGGATCATCAACCTAGAGATTCTGGCATTAACTGCCTTCTCCTCGTTTGTTTGAATCAGTTTAATGTGGTTTCACTGACATCATTGAGGGAAGTTTTCCTCCTTTTGCAGCTGTGTAGGTCTCCACTTTCCTGACCATATCGCTCCAAGTACTCACATTTACATTTTTGGATGTTGCTAAATGTGGTCTTACTAACACCAAAATGTTCCAAAATGGCTGTTGCTTTCCAGAACATGTAGAAGACCAACCTTTCCCTTTGTTGTCAGGTCTTTCCTTTGGGCCATTATATTTCCATTAACTGTAAAATTTTTCAATAACTGGAAGATGGGCTCACAATTCACACAAATCCTTCACATTGAAAAAATCTGCAACATGTGATGAATAGGACAATAGGCCTAATTCAACAAATAATAATAAAACATGAAAGAAGAACTTATACTAAAGAAAAAGAGGTAAAGTCCATACCTTCTGCCCCTTGGTACAGAGTAAACTGAAATGGTCAAGTTATAGAGAGTAATCTAATATTGTATGTCATAGTTCAAGTGGTCAAGATACAACTGATAAAGCTGATCAATATATAAAAGTCAATTTTCCACTGAGTACATGTGCTGCATGTTTAGTCTATGAAAATTAAGTCAACTTAAAGAGGTAGTTAACTGTGAAGGCTCTACTGTAATATGTGGCATTTTGTATCTGGCTCTGTCACTTACGTTTTCAAGGCTGATCCATGTAGCATGAATCAGTACTTCATTACTTTTTTTAAATTCAAAAACTTTTTAGTATTACACAATGCTGTAATAAAGTGTCTCCCCCTTAGCAGATTTCACTCCTTTTTATGGTTGAATAATAGCCATCATATACCGAATATACGGTTGGTCCTCTACATCCACAGATTAAACCAATCACAGACCACAAATATTAAAAAAAAAAAAAAAAAAAAAAAAAGAAGGCTGTGACTGGTGGCTCACACCTGTAATTCTAGCACTCTGGGAGGTCAAGGCTGGGGGATTACTTGAGCTTGTGAGTTTGAAACCAGCCTAAATAAGAGTGAGACCCCTGTTTCTAAAAAGTAGACAGGTGAGCACCTGTAGGAGGCTGAGGGAAGAGAATCACTTGAGCCCAAGAGTTTGAGGTCGGTGAAGGCGACAAAGTGAGACTATGTCTTTAAAAAAAAAAAAAATCCACAAATTTTAAAAATACAGTGTAACTATTTGCACAGCACTTAGGTATTATAAGTGATCTAGTGATGATTTAAAGCAGGGGTGTCCAACATGAGACCAGGCCACATGCTGACTGAAGACTGTTTTGCTTACCTGTGGTTTAGAAAAGTATGTCTGGATCTTTTGTTTTGTTCATTAGCTACTGTTAGTGTTTGTGTATTTAACATATGGTCCAAAGCAACTCTTACTTTTCTAATTTGTAGCAGAGAAAAAAACGGTTAGACACCCCTGATTTAAAGTACACATGTGTGGCTAGGCATAGTGCCCATAATCCCAACACTTTGGGAGACTGAGGCAGGAGGATCGCTTGAGGCCAGGAGTTTGAGGCCAGCCCAGGCAACACAGTCAGACCTCATCTCTATAAAAAATTTTTTAAAGAGAGAGTTAAAAAGGCAGGGGGTGGCTAATGCCTGTAACTCTAGCACTCTGGGAGGCCAACGCAAGTGGATTGCTTGAGCTCACAGATTCGAGACCAACTTGAGCGAGACAAAAATGGCCAGGCATTGTGGCGGTGCCTGTAGTCCCAGCTACTTGGGAGGCTGAGGCAAGAGAACAGCTTGAGCCCAAGAGTTTGAGGTTGCCATGAGTTATGACGCCAGGGTACTCTCCCAAGGATGGATGACAAAGTGAGACTTGTCTCAAAAAGGTAAAATATGTAGGAGGATATGCATAGGTTATATGCAAATATCACATCTTTTTTCAGGGGAGTGGTGTGGGTAGGAGAGGAGACCAAGTTCCACTCTGTCACTTTAGATAGTGTGAATGGCATCATCATAGTTCACAGCTCAAATTTCTGGGTTCAAGCAATCCTTTTGCCTCTGCCTCCTCATGCCCAGTTAGTTTTTTCTTTCTTAGTAGAGATGGGGTCTTGCTCTTGCTCAGGCTGGTCTCAAACTTCTGAGCTCAAGTGATCCACCCACTTCCGTCTCCCAAAGGGCTAGGATTATAAGAGTGAGCTACCATGACCAGCAACCATTTTACATAAGGAAATTTAGCATCCATGAATTTTAGTAGCTGCAGCAGTACTAGAACCAATATCGTGAAAATACCAAGGGATGACTGTGACACATTTTGTTTATCCATTCATCAGTTGATGGACTTTTAGTTGTTTCCATTGTTTGGCTATCATAAATAATGACTATGAATATTCATGTATAAGTCTTTGTTGCAGCTGTTTTCACTTGGGAGAGGAATACATCAAAGAGTGAAAGGAAAAGTGCACAGGGTATTAGATGCTATGAAAGAATTATTTAAAATAAGAAAAAGTACAGTTAACAATGTTACTGCTGGCTCGGCGCCTATAGCTCAACAGGCTAAGGCACCAGCCACATACACCTAAGG